TCCTTTGTTTTAGTTTGAAAACCTCAAGTTGCCACAGTAATCTTGCTCTGGTGATCTGTAGCAATAGCCAGATCAATTGTCATTGTGGTTTTCTTATGTTTGCTGGTTTTCATGAACTGCTTTCTTTCAGGTTTATTATTATAGATTTACAGTAAATCTAACTTATGTGGAATTCATAGAATCACAATTTTGATGTTAATTCTTGTGCAGCTGAAGAAACTTCAACTGCCCAAAGAGCTGGCTCAGCCTGTTGCTGTTCTGTCATATCCGTCAGTTTTGAAATTGTGAAAACCACAGCCTTGTCCCTTCCTACAGACTCTGACATTTAAGTAGGCAGTGACTGTTCATTTAAAATTAATCTGAGGGGTAGGAATTTTCTGAGTAAATTATGGCACTGGAAACCAAAATTCTTTTTTTTTTAATGGGTTTTGTTTGGGGTATTGTTTTGTTGGGGGGTTTTGTTTGGGGTTTTTATGGGGTTCTTTGTTTTGGTTTGGGTTTTTGTTTGGTTTTGCTGTCATGGAATATTTATATATATCATGGTGTATCTGTAGACTGATGTGAGAGCAGAAACATAAGCAGGAAGAAATTTTCAGTGAGATAATTCAGAGCGCTTTCTCTCAGAAGCTGTTGTATATTTGGACATCCACCTATATGATCAGGAACGTGTGTAACTTCAGTGTTTTTTAATGGATCTTGATTAGTATCTTGGGTACATAGATGTATTTCTATCCATACAGAAATTTTCTGGAAACTTGTAACCAGCTTCCAGCTTGCAGCTCTGCCCCTGTACTACCTGTTTCCTTCCTACTTCTTCCTCTGAACTGAACCTGCTTCTTTGTTGATGTTTGATATATCACTGGAAACAAAAAGAATGGCCCCTCTTCAGGCAAACAGTAAAACGCAAATACCAAAAAAATAAATCCAAAACATTAATTGTTTAGTTGAAGCCATTTTCTGTGGCTGAAACTATGAATTTGAAGTCATACTTTGTCAGCACCTTGAGGCATGCCTTTATCTTAGCACAGCGTGTCCCCCCCATTGTGTATTACTACTTGCATCATGTCAGAAAGTCTGGGGATAGCAGTGATCTTTCCCAAAGGCCTTCTTGTTTTGAAGCATTGAAAGTTTTTTCCCTGCCTCAGAAAATTCAATACCAAGATCCTCACAGTATGCAGAAAAATTCCTAGTGATATGATTCTAACACTGAAAGGAAGCAAAGTGGCATATATTATTTTATTGGCTACCAGAGAAAAGGTTGTCTTTAAAAATATATGTGCCTTTTACATATGCTTTGTGACAGACATACAGCCTGAAGACTGGCACATGGCAAAGGGAAATCAATAAAAAATGCATAATGATATTATAAATATTTATAAAATAGCTAGAGGAATATAATATGACAGGGAGAAGCCAAGAAGGCTTTCAGAATAGCAAATCTGTACTCTAAAATATATTGGAATTGTTCTGAGTGAGTTACAGTGTGGTAAAAAGTCATTGCATAGGCAGTGCATAGGCTATCAGGGATGTTCACAACTCTTTTATCAAAAGTTCTTTTAAAAGCAAGCATGAGAAGTTTCATCAAAAAGTTCAGCTAAATAATTGTGGAAAGAAGAAAAAGAAAATATTTTTCAGGAAGCATGAATTGATGGTGCCAGTGTAGAAACTTGTAGGCATTGTTTGATTGATTGATTGATTGATTGATAACTTAGGAAAGCTTTCCAACGGGAATAAAAGTGATCCAGCTTTATTCAAAGACTAGGAATTTTCCAAGTCTGCTAGAAGATCTTTTAACTATATTTTTTTATATAACTGCCTGTTCACATAGTTGTGCACATGTTCATACTTAGAGAGTAAGTGTTGTCTGTAAGACTGCAAGGTTTATAAGCATCAAGTAGAGAAGCAAGACAGGGGAAGAATTAGGTTCCTTAAATGCAAGTAAAAATTTCCTATAGTCATCCTCCTTTCCTGTAGGCTTGTACGTCATAGTCCTTCTACATGGCTAATTCTTCTACAGGAGGACTCTGACTGTGAGACTTGACTCCATTTTTTCTCTGTGTTGATGTAAATATCAAGAATAAGCTGGAGGTTTTGTAGGGAGCAATTTATTCTTTTCTGCTTTTGCTGCAGATGGTTGAATTTTCTCAGCCTGCAAGAGCTGCAAAAGTACATAGTGAAAGAGAAAATTATACTAAAAATGGAAGAAACTATGCAAGAGAGATACTTGTTCTGCCTTTAGCAAATGGCTCACAAAAGTTTCTTCAGTGGAGACATCCATATCTGGGGATATTGCTGCTGATTTCTTGCTTACAGAAACCTCTTTCCCATTAGTCCAAACAGAGCACAATGTCAGTAATGGTTGGGTCAGGATGCTAATTATCTTTGTGAAAAATAGGTGGGCAGATAGTCCAGGAGATAGATGCTTCCTAATTTGATAAGGGCTTTTAAAGATAAATGGCCTTGAAGTAGATTTGTTTTCAAATGAATAGCCGGTAGAGTGCTCGGACCAGAGGCACAGTGAGCTCTCATCAGTTTTTCTCAGAGTGATGAATGTTGTGTATTCTGTCTGTTGACATGGTCTTTGCCATCAGATGTCCCAATTTATTAATAGTTTTTAGGGCAATGGTTGTAAATTATTGCAGCCCAATTTTATTACTGTTTTACATCTACTGAGGACTGAGCCTTGTGTGCAGCTTTATATTAACTCAGCAGGCACCATTAAAATATTGACATTTAGGCTCATTTTGGCAGCATTAATCATAGCATTTTATCATGCCTTAATTGTATGAAATGACTGGTTTGAAATTACTGGAGTGTTCACTTCTCTAAAAGCAGGTGAAACAATAATTTCCATTTCTCTACTTTTTCAACCCATAACTGCACTTTAAAAAACCCAAACAAGCCTAAACACATAACCCCCTCATCTCCTAACTGTGTGTGCTGTGGGTATCTACTTGGCTTCTTTGCAGCAACTGTAGGTGAGACCCAGCACCTCTTATGAGGCTCACTGGAAGCTCTTGAAAGTGTCACCTCTGAAAATCAGCCTTTGAATTCTCAGTGTGGATACCTACAGGCAGGTCTTGACTTCAAAAATGGACCCTAATATATATAATAAGAGTACTCCTGATGTTTTAATATGCTGAAGTGGCTTAAGAGTTTAAAAGAGGCACAGAAATGCCTTTTGTGATTCACCAGCAAGAAAATGCTCACAGCACCCATGGCTGCTTGTATTATTGTACCAGTAACAGAATCTGTGATATTTGCTGGCTCTTTTCAGTGGAGGGCATCACTAGATGATTATGTTTAATAAAAGGAGTTGGCAGCCTTTCTCACTTAACAATCATTAGAAGATCTGCTGCTGAGGTCCCATTTTGTGAGGCAGCTGGAAATTGGCACTTAGTTTGAATGTATTGTTTTCTACCTTTCTCTGAAAGTTCAAGGGCAAGGCAAAACTGTTCAGACTACACAAAGAAAAAACTTTTTCTCATTTTCCTTTGTTTACTTGGTCTTTCCACCACTCCCTTTTTCCCTATGAAAATTTATTCCCCTATATATGCATGAATTAAATGGAAGTGAAGACAATGTTAACAAAGATGAAAGGAGAAGACTTGAGGGAAGATATTTGAAAGCACCAGGCAGAAGATAGCCATATAATCATGACTTTTTACTGGAGTAAAAACCATCTAGATCTTCATTTATGTTTCTCTTTATACTTATGAGGAAAGACAATCCAGTTGCTTCTGTTTTAGGAAACTGAGGCATCAAATGGGTCAGTGGGGAGGGAAACCCTAAATCACTCAAAAGGAAAGGTGCAGAAGATGTTGAATAGTGGTATCCCAGTGTGCTAAATTTAATTCTCCTAATCATGCATTTAATTAATTATTTTAAAGATTGCCCCTCCCAACTCCCATCCCTAAATGTTCTCTCAACTTCAGCACTTTGTCCAGCTGTATTTTCCTTGATAACATGATATGGCTTAAGCCACAGGCTCCTACCGTAGCCTGCTGCTTCTTGCTATTCTGGATCTTCTCAAAAAACTTTATAGTGACAGAGGTTTTCTTTTTTCAGTTACAGTGGCTTCATATGACCAAATAATATTCATTAACTTGATTGCCTAAGGATATCAAGCTCCAGGGGAAACTTGTATTCCTATATGATTGGCAAGATAATTAGGAAGTGAAATAATGCAAATCCCACTGCAGGCAGCTGTCAAAGATTTACCTATTTATTCTTTGAATTCAAAGTGTGTCATATCATACATCCTTTTATGCTTTTAAGGCTTTTCTAACGGTAGGTTTATTATCGACCTTCACCGTGCACATTTTGCAGGGGCAGGAGGAGGCTTTATGAGCTCAGTCAAGTTGGGCTGGTAAATCCACTGAGATTTTTAGTCTGCAGTATCACCTAGATAACTCAGGCTAAAGTACACTTTTGCTTTTACTAGCTTTTGATTTTAAGCTCCTGGGTCATGGTGTTTAATTCTTTATTTTTAAAGTATCTACCAATATTAGAGCTTCTACATGATATGAAAACACAGGCACAGAAGCCACTGATGGCAGCAAGAGTTCTGCATCCTTCAGGAGGGTGGAATATTGGATTTAGGTTAGAGACATCTTTTATATAGTCTCCTCCAGCCTTCCCCATTAGCAGAGACCAGGGTGAAGCTCATATTAGTAATTGCTGCATCCAGGCAGCAGTAGCAAGTGGGAGATTAAATGAGAGAGCTGTATAGATGTGGGGTCCTGTAGAGGATGGCCTTCAGTAAGTAAAAGTCACTCATAAATTAAACATTTAGCAAAACCCTACCAAGTAAAATGTATCTTACGAAGTTCTGACAGTTTCTCAATCTGACAGTGGTAAAACCTGAGAAGCAAGGAAATTGGTGGAGTTACTCTGATGTGGTTGGACTAAAATTAATCTGGCAAAAATATTTTTTTTTAAAAAAGGACAAGAAAGAAAATCCATATTCTTGCTAATGAGAACCAACATTTATCTTACAGGGAACCTGAAGTTTTGCCTTCTGATTCTGAACCAGCCTTTCAACAAAGATCATTTTCATTGTCTCTGGAGCAGAGGTAATAATAACTTATATATATCTTCATTTGCTTATTTTCTTAGCTGTCACCCAGCTAGTGTACTTCATGTCTGTTGAATTGCAGGGTTGCAGTTTCCTCTTTACTAGAACAACCTTCTGGTGAGGCTATGAATTGGCAGAGTATGTCCCTTGTTGCTGAATGCAGCAAATGAGCTGATTATGCAAATTCTGCATCCCTGCATTGCACACGTCAGTGGGAACTTTGTGCACTGATCTGTGTAAGACTGTAGCTTTTCAGAGGCTTCTTAGGAATGATCATTGTTTTGCTGACAAAGTGTAGCAGATCAATGGTGCATTTAAGAGTTTGGAAGTGAGCATTTCTTTAAAGGTCATCAGTGAAATGTGTTAAATTTAATCAAAATAAAATGAACTGTGTAGATATTGAGTTGTGAAAGTGGTGGGGAATTTGCGTGCTCGTTAGAAATATGCAAATCAGATTTCACTACCCCTTCATTAAATATGCACAGTGCTAATCATCATCTCTGGTATGATAGCTTCAGATTTACTGACATTTTGTGGAGATATGTAAATCTTTACAAGCTTGGAGCTATTAATTCCTCCATGCAGGAACATAGCCCTTCAGAAGCTTTCTGAAAAGCCACAGGAACTGTCTCTAACTTATTCCCAGGGTGGGAATCTTGCAGAGAGATTCTTCTTAACTGACTGGAGCTGATAGAGCTATTTGGTTGCACCATAGGCATAAGGACTGGCAGGGGGTAGCTGTACAGTTAAGAGGAATTGAAATAAGGGATGAAGTGAGCAGGATGTATTCATAGCACTTAATTCCAGTAAACCCAAATTAGGTACCCATATAGCCAGAGGAGCGATAAAAAAGGAAGAAAGTTGTACAAGATTATTCAAAGCTTCTGAGCAAACAGACTCACTTTTATTTTCATTTCCATGTGCTCAGTGGAAGGGCTGTCCAGTTATTTTACAGATGTGATTCTACATATTTTTTCAATTAAAAAGATACACTGAAACACCTGGTTTGTATCACAGAAAGAAACAAGGTGAAGCATTTGATCTTATTTTTTTGTCCCACCTTTCCTGTTTTCAGGATTTGGGTTAAAAAAAGAGACAGTAAACCAGACATGCATAATTTCTGAATGGCAGTATTTAGTGTCTTATAGTACCTTGCATATGTTGCTTTTGTGCTGTATTTTGTTGATCAGCATCAATTTGTATTTTTTATTTTTTTTTGTCAAACCTTGGGGCATAGAGTGCTTCTTATTGTAACACTAATGAGCCTTTAAACTGTAGTGCTTCTGTAAAGGGTTGAAATAAGAAGCTGAATAAAACCAAGTAGGCCAAAGACTCTCTTATACAAAGCTACCTCAGTGGGTTCCTGTTCTCTGAGCATGTGTTGAACATGATCACTAGTGCTTTAAATAGTTTTCCAAAGAGTTTGTGGGAGGAGAAGAAGTCTTAATTAAGCTACTAAGACTTTTCCTGGTAGATTACTTTAAGAAATAGGTGGATTTTTTCTAAGTAAAATAACAGAAGGAGGTAGTTACTGTATGTTATGTAGTTACTAATGGTAAACATGAAATGTTTTTCTTCAAACATCTTACCTGAAGCAAATTTTAGTGAATCCAGGACACAGTTTTGGTAATGCCTGGCTTACAGTGCTAGTGGACTACTTTAGTTGTCAGCAGTTTTCTGGATCCTGCTTCTGGAGGAGTGTTAGCACAGAGACTGTTACATGACTAGGAGAACCCGGGGGGGTTGGTGTGTGAACTGAAAGAAGTTCTGAAGGAATCATCCTTAGGAACAGTGCTTTATGACTTTATGATATCTCAAGCTTGTATATGCTTGAGATATCATAAAGGAGAAATAAGAAGGAAATAATAGGGCTGTTAATCCACAGACTATTGCCAGCTACACAAACTCAGGTGGAAAAGGAGAGAGAAACGCAAAGGAAAAATAAGATAAAATACTGTCCCACTTCTCTGAGTTGCAGGAATCTTGGGTTGTTGTGCTCAGTACAGAATGCTGAGATGTGTTATTTTCAAGTAGATTGTGTCTTATCAAAGTAACTTCTTTCATTAGCCCTGTCAGTTTAGTGTCAAATAAAAAGTAGTGTGAAATGTGACACCATTGGTGGTGAAATGTCCTAAGTTTAAAAAAAAACAACAAAAAACCATCAATAAGTGGCTATTCTAGGCTAAAATCGTCCCAGGTGTAACTCCTCTTGACCTCAAGAAGAAGTGGTTGCAGCTAATTAACCTGTGTCTTATTACACACATTTATGAAATCTATTTTTACTGACATACTTTCAAAAGAACTATTTCAGTCAGTACAAGTTTGCATGAACTTCTTGTGCTTTGTGAAGGACATTGAAATCAGATTTCATCACTTCCAAGAGACTTATTTTCCCATTCTTACCAGACAAACTGGATAAGTGACAGTAGTGAAGCAGTACAAGCTAAGGACTATATGATTTTAGTCTATTATATATCATCACTATATTGTATGATGATATTATATATCATTACTGTAATGAATGAGTCTAGAATTTGTTCACTTGATGTTTGATACACTCATGTACATACATTAGTGCTGTTCTAAAAGCAGGATGGATGAAATGTTGGAGAAGGGATAGTTTGCGAAAGCAGGATGAAGACTAATATGGCAGAAAACACTGGTTGTTGCCTGAAGGATTTATTGGGTTGCAGGTAATGAGAAGGGGAAAAACCAAATGGCAGGAGAAATTAAAGAGAATAGGTCAATAAAGGGGGATAGAAGGTAATGTGGAAAATATATCAGAAGAGTGAGTGCCCTGCTTTTCTCAGAGCTGCACATTTTTCTGTCTGTGAGTTTTCTATAAGGAAGACTGGATCCAGTAGACCTTTCCTTAACAACACTTTCATGCATCCTAAATTCCTGCTTATACAAAGTTTCTAGCTCCTGGTTTGAATCCCGTTTAATAAAAAAAAAAATATGATTTTGAAAAATATCCACTTTGAATTAGTGTCTGGGACTACTTCTCAAGTGATTTCAAATGTAAATATCTCTTTCACAGAATTGACTGTGAGTTGAAAGTCTGAAGCTGTCTTTATGTTAAGTTTGAAAAGTACAGAAGCCCAGGTTTTAGTGGCTGAAAAAAGAATGGGCTTTCTGGGAAAAATTTCCTATGATTTTCAAAGTTCCTATGATTTTGATTCTGCTTTTTAAAATCTCTTTAATCAGAAATGCAATGATTTACTTATGCCAAGAATTTCAGCTATGTCTAGTGATTGTAAGTGCTCTGATTTTTTGATGTCTCCCTAGGGAAGAGGCAGAATTATTGCAGTGCTGAGAAATTACCTCAGTGAAAATTGTCTTAAGTTCAGGATCTGAAAATGGTTTCTTGTTTTTGAAAACATTACACCTACAAGTTACTTAAATGATCCAGAATTTCCTTATGTCCCTGTTTCATGATAGGACGCTGAGTGGCTGTATACAGAGTACTTTCCACTCTTAAATGTTGACAATGACAGCTGTAAAGAACAAGGAACTATGCTCTGGAAAATAAAATTATTATTTAAAAGGTCAGAGTGAAATGACAAAATTCTACAGCAATCTGATGAAGCTGTGCTTTATAGTAGGAAAATGTGTCCATGGGTATTTTTAGTTCTCATAATGGTTGTGATACGCTGGCCACTGTGCCTTCCTCAAAAAGATTGTGATTTCTTTCCACAAATACACACTTTCCATGAAAGCTATTAATCAAACAAAACATGTTAAACAACTTTAAATATTAGCCACTGATACTAACAAATGTCCTTAGCCAATGTATTAGAATAAGCTACCAACATCCCTTTGGAATGGGCTGACTGAATCCTGACTTGTGGGAGCTGTGTTTAATGTTGGACAAGGCAATAGAAAGGAGACATCTATGAAACCTGGCTGAATGTCTGTCCTTCATGTGCACATCCCTAAATAGACTCTTCCATGGGCCAGTCTTTCCAGTGAAGGAACTTGGGTTCTAGTTCTGTCTTCTTACGCTGCTCTACAGACATGACCATCCACTTCATCCGCATAATAGATGGGTGTTCTATGACACCTTGACGATCATGAAAATGGAGGAGCTCCAGAAAGAGGAATGTTGCTCACCCTGGAGACTCCAGCTCTATATTGTGGAGGGGATCTATGTATTGAGAAAGCATTCTTCTATGGCAGCAGTTAGTAAGTCAAATCCAAAATGTGTTAAATTGTCTTCATGTAAACGGTGTTTTCTTAGACTATTTATATTGTGATGACTTATCCATAAGCTGAGTTTTTTGCAATTTTCCATCTCTATGAATATCCATATTGCAACAGTCAGATCAGCTGTTGCATTCTAAATCTTATATTGAATGTCAGGCAACTTTCCTGTCAAGGCCAGCCTACTCTTTGATGAAAATGCTGATAATGAATGGCTGGTTAGCACCTAGAGGTGATTGTGTGTTACAAAATATCTCTCCTCACTTAATAATCAAATGAGAAAAAAATTTATTTGTATGACCGATTTCCAAGTCATCTGAATGCCACATGCTTCCATACATTTTATGTTCCATGTGCTTTTGTCTGCAATGTAATTGGTGATTGATATTTTGAATGTCTTCAGTTGAAGTCCACAATACAAAGTTCAGGTATCAGTTCAGATGTACAGAGGGGAAGGTGATAGATCAGTTGGAACAGTTTTAATGTCTCAGAGCAGAAGAAAGGATATTGTAGTTTCATAAGAAGAGGGGAAATAACCTGACTTTCCCTGATGCTATTTTTTTCCTTCTTTATGATTGATACCTTTTCCTTTAGTCTTTAGGGGTTGAACTCATCTACACTTCCAGAATTATTAGTATGTGCAGCCATTCACTTGCCCTTTTACCTGTCATCAATGAGCTTGCCTTGTTGGCATATGGTGAGCTTTTTTCCTCACCTTTTATTTTCATTTCTAGCTGAACTTACTTGTAATATATCTCAAATTTGTACTGGACCCAGAATTGGCAGTTGGCATAA